CACCTTTACCCACTTTTTGGCCCAGTTTCGAGGTCGTTTTGTACTGAAATTGAAATCTTGGTCGTCAGTACAGTTCATTTCGACGCACGCCACGCCCACTGTGGGCGGGGCTCCGCTTAGCTGATGTGTGTTTTGTACTTCGTGAGACCTTGCCCACCCATCCACACTTGACCCGGTCCCTCCAGGCGGATCCCGAGGAGCTAGGGAATTTCGTGACAGACATACAGAACGACAGACAGACGACAGACGAAGCGCTTTATAGTAAGTAGGATATATCCTACTATATATAATCGGCTAAGCGGTTGTGTGTGTGTCTGACCGGAAATTCATAACTTCACCCCCTTTGGACCCAGAGCGCTCAAACTTCTAGGATATATAGGGGGCCGGAGGTGAACACTGATGACGGGTGGCGGGAAGTGATAACTACTGATAGGAGCTGATAACGGACGTCGAAATGTTGATGTCACCAATTTCGTTACACCGTTCGCGTTGACAGTGGAGAGTTTGCACTCATGTATGATATGTGGGGTGAGGCGGGGACCAAGAAGTTGAGTGAACGAATGTGGTAGCAACTGATAAGAACTGATAAGGGGCGTCAAAGTGTGGATACCACCAGTTTCGTTGCGGCCCTTGCGGTTACATTGGAACCTTGGCTCTCACATGTGGTATAGGGGATGGGACGGGAACACGGATAGCGGATGATCAGAAGTGATAACAAGCGATAACGGTTGATAAGGAAGTTAGGATTTTGAGTACTGCTAATTTCGTTGCAGCCTTCGTGGTGACAGTAAATATTAGCTCCTACACGTTGCCTGGAGGTTGGGACCGGGACACCGATTGCGAACAGTATGAACTGATAACAAATGACAAGGAATGATAAGAGCGTTTGAATGCAGGTCTCTCCAACTTCGTTGCAATTATCACTGGCAAGCGATCAAGGTGGCGAGGGTTGAATGTAGGTGACAGAAAGTGGTATGAGCGGCAACTGTACTGATAAAAGTAGCGACAGTTGAGCGTGCACTCAGTTGAACTAAACCAGGTTCCTAGCACGTGAATATGTTCCATTCCTACCCTTTCATCTAAAGAAGCAAAGAAAGTTGAGCTGCTCAACTATCTGGACTTGGACCAATAGCGAATTTCCATCATATTTCCAATTTCCATCAGCTCGGTTAGATGCTGATTGATTGGTTATATTTCACTTACACACCGATTCTTCAATTGTGGAAATTCTATAAACCGCTAAATCACCCGAGCTCGATATCAATGCTAAATGTTTACGAAGTCATGATAAGTACCATTTTCATTCCGCATGCTACTGCGCGCATTACGCGACAATCTTCAGCAAAATTGGACAGCCTTTGAAATTCATGTGACACATCTTCCAAACATCTTACTGTTAGTTTCTCAGCCACGTGACCTAATATTCAGCAAGTTGTCCAGTTTCACTAAGCCTACCATGTGATGCGCGCGGTTGCGTGCGGAGCTAAACTGGTTATTTAGAACCCCGAAAGGATTAGCGGTTTAATGAGTTTGGGCTTTCTTGATAGAAATGAAACTTATCATTTGCTGAAGACTTGATTGAATTTATGCAATCGACTGCTATTAAGTAAGCTGGTATATATACGCGCCTTGAGACGCTGAGCTCAAATATGCTTTCCTTATCTGCTGAACTCTTCTCTGAAAGGAATTATGAAGCAGAAAAGCGCAGGGGCTGTGGTCGAGGCTCACGAAAAAGAGGTCAGGGGATCGACTCCCTGGCGAGTTTGTTCTTTTGCCGTTTGCAGTAAGATAGCTAGGAAGATTCCTAACATCGCTAGTCCAACATGCTTGCGTATAGTTAACAGTACAAAGAATTTAAGGGCAATTAATAACGAACTTGGGCGGCATCGCTCCTCACTACTTTGGGCGCTTGTAGCGCAGGCGCCAGGCATTTTTGCTTCGAACAAGTATGATATTCGTAATCAGGGAAGTTGGATTCCCCTTGCGGCAAACTTCTAGCCAATGCTTACAAAAATTGTGTCTGACTTGCCGCCTACATCATCCAAAAATCTGCAAGGGATTATTTCCTAATACAACACCTTCTCTCCCCTTCCCCCGTCGTCCATGATTGGTCAACCCAAAAAAGTGGAGTTTGAGGAGTGGTAATCCCATCACTGCTCCGCTTTTTCTCAATTTTCATGACCTCACATTTGGACGAAAAACTCGTCATTAGTAGTCTGATCCTCCGAATACGAACAACATCCCATGGGCACTCACAGACACGTAGTGCTTGAACTTGAGAGTATCTGTTTGCAATCTCTCCGTAGATGTAGTGTCGGGAAAGTTAATCAATCTTCTTTGAAGGAGTATCAAAATTACTCTTTAATGCAGTTTTTCCAAAAAATTCATGCAAGCGAGGGTTCCTGGGCTTCTCCAATTCTCTAAAATGATTTTGGCAAAAAAGACGATCCTAGCAAATTGCTCAGTT